CGCTCTTCTTGGTTTAGTCTTAGGGATTAGGCTCTTGGCCCTCTTCTTGGGAGTACTAGAGAGTGAGGAGTGGTGTGTATTGGAGTTAGGACTAGGAGTGATGAGTCTCATTGGAGTTTGAACACTCTCGCTCTCTTTGATACTCTTTTAGATACAGTTATGTACAGACTCTCTCTCTTCTCTTGTGGGTGTAGACTACTTGTCATAGTGACGTCTCGACTTCTCAAGTTCTCAGTCTCACACTTCAGTGACTTCACAGCTGCTCACTTCTTGACAAAACAACCTCTCACTCTCGGCACTCCCATAAGTTCTGACTTCGTCTGAGTCTTCTCTGCAGTCTCTTCTTCTCTTGCTGTGACAGTTGTTATACCACAGAGCTAAGCTAATTACGTTATGGGGTATGGAATAGAAGTTAAACGTAAACGCATATTTATTCAATTTTAAAACGTTATGACCGTTATAATGTGATCAGAAGAGCCTACCTGTTATTTATAGGACTAGTTCGAATGGTAAAAACAGTACACTCAAAATGTTTAGATCTGCAAGGTGCGCCTGTGAGCACACAAAAGACCGCCTATAGAATAAAAGTTGAACGTAAATGTATATTTATTCGATTTATAAAAGTTTTAACGGAAAACGGTTTGAGGTTAGCGGGCCCAGTCCCCCCAGAGTGTGCAGTTGTGTACAGTTGCGACCGTCCATTGCTACAGAGTCCAGAGTCCAGACGACAAAGTGTACATGTCATATCACTGGAAATATATAAATAAATAAAAAAACGGTCAAAGTGGATTTATACTGGATTCCGGGATTTGGTATTAAGATGCTCCTTTTAAGACTCATGCGGGTGACAGGGCTCAGCCGCCCATGATTGATAACTGTATGTCAGTTCACTCTTCACTCTTCTCTTTCTCTCTGTGGCTCGCATTCAGACAATCTCTCTCTCTGTAAGTCTCTTTTTGTGCGCGTGCGTTAGTGAGTCACTGTGTGGCTGAGAATTAATGCGCTGTTTCTTGTGTTGTGTCCACAACAACTGTGAACTCTGTGAAGTCAGAACTGCGAGTGTGGCAAGAACTGTGAACTCTGTGAAGTCAGAACTGCGAGTGTGGTGTGAAGTGTGAATTTCACTACAAAACCTCACAGTCACAAACAACACAGTGAACATACACCCACTGTCAGTCTGTCACACATCATGTATTCACAAACAACAACACAATAAAAGAAGAGAAAGAGAAGGTGAGACAGTGCAGAAGAAAAGAGAACAGAAGAGTATAAGAGAGAGAACTTGATGAGTTGAGACTCTCTTACTGTGAGTGTGTGACTCTATGACTAAGCTCATTCCGTTATGTGTATGCTGAATAAAAATTGAACTTTAAATGTTCTATAAACTTTAAAACGGCTATGTAGCCCAAATATGAATGTGCACCTAAAATCCACGAAGTGGGCTATATTGAGAGTGTCGACCAATCATCAGCTCGCCATGATTTTGATAACGCAGATCCCAATTCCTTTGACTTTTGACTACAACTTTGCGCCCGTGGATTTATATTTTGATTGTATACGGTGCTAATAGGGGCGAGAAGTCGAGAACTGAGAAATGAGTTGTGGATATTGCCGGAAAGTGAAAACAAACTGAATATATTATTCGGTTGGCATAGTCAATAGAAAATAGGAACTCGGAGCCCGGTCATATTTGGCGCGCTCAACAGCCTCAACTGGGGACAAATTTGCGGACCTAGAAATTACACCCCATCTGAAATCCATAGGACAATAACGCTTATATCGGCATGTAATAAAAGGTTTTAACGGTTAACTTATTGAGCTTAGCTCTATGAGTACGTGCTTGTGTTTATAAATATACATTTTACTAAAGTAACCGACTGTTGGCTTTCTTAAAGAGCTAAACACTCTTGTTAAAAGACTCTGGACTCTGGACTCTGGAGTCTGGAGACTGGAGTATGGAGTCTGGAATGAGACTCTCTGAGAATCTGGTCTCTGGGACTCTTTTTTAATTCTTAGTAAAAAAACAAACAAAATAAGTCCTTTTTGTCGACAATAGATCCCCCTTGCAGAGGTATTATGTAGCCTAATATATTGTACATTGGTCCGTGCATGCAGTCTTTCATCTGCGTCGTATAACGGTATACGCGTGTATTGTAGTCTGTAGAGTCCAGCAGTAGACAGTAGACTCAGAGCAGAGACTCAAGACTTAGAGTGGATCATGGATGTAGATTGCAGAATGCAGAGTTGAAATAACGACACTCGACATTTCACATTTGACTTTGACAACACAACAATGAAAAAACACACACTCACAAAGAAAGAAGTAGTATATATATATACATATATACATATATATATATATACATATATACATATATATATATATATACATATACATATACATATACATATACATATACATATATACACATATACATATATACATATATACATATATAGTTGAAATAACGACACTCGACATTTCACATTTGACTTTGACAACACAACACCACAATGAACAAAACACACACCCACAAAGAAAGAAGTAGTATATATATATACATATATACATATATATATATATACATATATACATATACATATACATATATACATATATACATATATACATATATAAATATATATACTTATATATACTTTATATATATATACTTATATACTTATATACATATATACATATACATGTATATGTATGTATATACATATATACATATATACA